AATAAAAAGACTAATCTTTTATCGTGGCTGTAGAAACAAAAAAAAAATTATGGTTTGGTCCTTACTAAAAAATTGATTAAGCTGATAATTAAGGGTGAAAATATTTTTTTCATAAAATATATTTTTCATGGCAGAATTAATGAGAGACAAAATGATAAGAAAATATTTTTTTATTATAGTATAATAACTATTTTACTCTTAAAAAAATAGTCTTTGCGTTATGAGTTCTTGTTTTTTTTTTAAAAAAAAATAAATAGTTAAATTAAGGTCATACCTTTAGAGGGGCTTTTCTATCTTTTTTTTATAAAAAAACAATAAAATTACAAAACTAGCCTTGGAACTTGAAAAAAACAAAGGCTATTATAAAGGTGTTTTGATCTTTTTAGACTAGTTTTGTTGTTATTTTAAAATTTTGCTATGGTTAGTTTAGTAATTTTTAAGTTTTAAATATTATTAAAATAAATTTGTTGATATACATGTCATGGCCTTTGCATCATTCAAGTGGCGGGTCGTGTGATAGCTAAAATCCTGTTTTTGTTGTGCTGTTATCAGCAACGCATCATCCTTTTTCTAAAAGTGTGATGAGTGCTAACGGAGGAGGTCATGGAAGTTTTTCTTTCTTTCTTCTTTCTTTTCTCTCTCATTTCATAGAAAGATGTTCTTTGACTTCCAAAAAAAATTGTGTCCTCAAGTTTGTAATCTTATCAATTATGGTTCGTTTTCTTTTAATTATTTTTTATTTGGCTTTTGATGTTTTGAAATTTGGATTTTTTTTCAATTTCGACCCCGGGTATTTTTTCAATTTGATTTTTTTGTTTGATTTGGTCTCTCTACTTTTAATTGCTTTATTTTTGTATCATATACTTTTCTTGATTATTTTTTTTTTACAATTTCATCCCTTTTAATTTTATTATATTTGTTTTCTTAATTCATTTTTTGTCTTTGTTCTTTTGATTTCTATGTTCTTATACTTTTCTTGATTTTCTTTTTCAAAATCTCAACAACTTTTCTTTATCACTTTCTTAGTTTTTTTTTTGTTTTCCTATTTAGCCCCTAATTATTTTCTTTCATTTTTTATACCATGTTTGGTCTGCATTGCTTGAGTTTTAAATTGTTTTACGGTTGAATATTTTACTTTGTTATTCTTTCATAGTTGCCTTTCAACAAAGCAATCTTTTATTGAAATTTTTTTTTCAAATTCATCATTTAAAATTTAGTTATTAATCCCTTAACTTATTTTTTTTTGTTTTTTTATTGAGTTATCACAATCTCATATCTCAGGTAATAGGTTAGTCAGGTTAATTATGGCTGCTTCAAATTGTTTTTCCTTAATTTTTTTTATGAAATCATTTTTTTTAACAATTTCATACTTTAATGTTATATTATTGGCCCTTGAGGTATGCGATTTTTTTGCTTTTCTTTCCATGCGGTTTATTTCAAAAGCAGGTTGGTCAAGCAAACCCGGGTCAACTTACATTTTATTCACAATGTTTTTTTATTTAACTTATATATTTTTTATCAGGCTCTTCCTTTGGAGGTCTATTTTTTTTTTAATCTCAATCTCATATCGTGTATAACGGGCTAGTCAAGTTAACCTGGATTGACTTTAAATTTTTTCCCTTGATTTTTCTATGACCTTTTTTCTTTTAGTTTCATCTTTTTACATTGAATTATTTGTCCTTAAGCTTTACTTTTTACATTGAATTATTTGTCCTTAAGCTTTACCCTTTTTTTTTTTTACTTTTCTTATTGTTTGGTTATTCCGAGAGCATGTTGGTAGAGTTAAGTTTTTTGATGTTTTTTTAATTAAACTTTGGTTTTTTTTACTATGTCATCCTTTTGAAATTCTTTTTTTTTTTATTCTAATCTCATATCATAGGTTGTTGGTTCACAAGTTAACTCGAGTTGACTCAGGTTTTCTTTTTCGACGTTGTATTTTTTAATTTTTTTTTTTCATCCTTGACTTTAGGTTATATAGTCTTGAACTTTATATTTTTTTTTTTGTAGGTTCTTTCATATCCTAAGTTACATTTTGGTTAATTTAATTTGGATTATCATCGCTTGAATATTTTTTATTTTATATTAAAAAAAATTAATCTGACATACTGTGTGTCGCATGCTACTTATCTAGTCTAATTGTTGTCCTGTCTCAAGACACGAAGATTTTCATAGTTCATTACAAGGGAGGGAAATTGAATTGGGTTCACTTCCAAGCTAACTTAATTCCGAACTCAACAAAATTTGTCAAATTCATGGGATACCCACAATGTATTATAGACACTATTATGTCTTCTTATTTTTTTTTTTTAAAAAAACATTGTAATAGAAACGATACTAGTTTACATATTGCACTATATATATTACTTAATAGAAAATATCCATGTCATAGAAAAATATTTGAAATTGTTATTAAATTCAGCTTAGTAGATTAATCTTGAAACCTCCTTATTTAACTTTTTATTTAGTCCAAATTTAAAATTAAAATACATGAGAGTTGATCTAATATGACTTAGTTGACTTAATCAGATGAAATTAACATGAAAAGAAACTTGCCGACCAAACTTCCTGTCTAACCTGAGTTTAAAACAAAATAGTGTGGGAGTTATCTCACCATGATCTAGTTAATTTAGTCGGTCCGAAAACAATCTAATTATCCAACAAAATAAGTTTGAGGATAAAATTAAGAAGAAAAAAAAGAGATGAAATTGACATAAAGAAACTCCCGACCTAGTTTTTTACCAATCCCGAGATTAAAATTAAATTGTGTAAGAATAGTCTTAACATGATTCAATAAACTTTATTGGTTAAAAAATAATTCAAATTATTATTAAAAAAAATAAGAATGAGATTAAAAAAAAACCATATTAAAATAAAAAAGATGCTAATTCTTTTTTAATAAAAACAGATCTTATGAAAACGAAGCTACAGAACATAACATAACAAAATTCATAGAATCCAATTTTTTAGTACGTTTAGGTCATAGTTTGTAAAAGGAAGAAAAATGATTTTTCGAAGGAATTTGCAATGCATTCAGATTTTGGGCTGACATGGTAACAGTGCCTGGACGGACGTTCCAGCAGTGAAGGTTTGCTTGATCGCCTCCTGATCTAAAAGGACAGAAAGGGCAAAAACCACATTTAGTGGGTCCCTTCTCAAATCGTTGAGCAAATCAGACGGTAAAAAATAAGTTGTGACCACGAATGGTCACGAGGAATGGTGCCTAAGCATTGCCCTTTATTGAAAAAGACCCATTTAATTTTTATCAACATCATGTCATCCCATGCATAAGAGTCTTCGACATCTACATATATATTTATATATATTTATATATATATTTTATCGTTTCCTTGCTGAGTAAGAACCTTCAAAACAAAGTGAAGCCACACAAAACTCTCTTTCTTTTTCTTCCTCTTTCTTTCTTTTTTTTTCAAATTTTTTTTGTAGCTTTTCTCTTACACCTCCCTCAACTCATTTCAATGTGCTTCTCAATAATAATAATAATAAATGTATTTTTTGAGTATTAATAAGACTGCTATCTCTTTTATTATTTTAATTAATTTTTAAAATAAAAATAGGGAGTTGTTTTTTTTTTAAAAAAATACTCCTTTTTAATATGAAAGTATTTTTGATATGTAATTGAGATGGATATGACTTTGATACATAAAAGCTCATTTGAAAAATCACAGTTATTTAAACAAGAAGAGAATGTTTTGGAAAAGATCATGTTTTTTTCCCAAAATAAAAATCAAATCATTTTCATTTACTCTTTACAATAATTCTTATATATTTTATGAGGTTTTAAAAAACATAAACAAACATCCAAACTAAAAAGTAGAAGAAAAAGTCTATAGTCGGCTTAAATACCATACAAGCAATAATATTCAAAGGGATATGGGTTCTAGAAAAAGGGAATATAGTTATTTTTTAAAATAAATTTACTTGAAAATATATTAAAAAAATATATTATTGAACAAATCTCAAATTATAATTTTTTTTTTAAAAACAACATAAATTTAAATAAAAACACCATTTAGTACTGATCTACCCCTCCCCTAACCATTACACAAATTAAGGTTAAAAAATCAAGTTCTTTCTTACCATATATATAAACTGAAACCTTTTAATAAACATAAAAACAAAATAAAATAAAGCAAAAGCAAAGAAAGCTCCCATCATCATTTACATAAATAATATAACAACAACAATAACAACAACACAGAGGTCATATACATAGACAAAAAACACACGCACCTCTTCTCTCCTTCTCTCTCATTTTTCACCTTCCTCTTTTTATTAGATTCCTCTCAATGGTCTTTTCTCTTCTTCATTGGATTGTACAGATTCCCAGCTGAAAATACTCTTCCATGTTCTGCTAGATTTTTTTTTTCTTTTCTTTGCTGTGCTTGTTTCATTTTTTTTTCCTCCTTCAACTGCAAGACATGGTGTTGTGTATATTATAGAACTCTTTCTGGGTTTCTTGGCTTTTACTTTCTTTTGCAAAACACTGTTTTCTGGGTTTGCTGCAAAATAGCCTTATATACCCAAGAAGCACTCATGTATGCCTCATAAGGCTTGAATATAAAGAACAAATTTATACAAAGTTTTGATCTTTTCTACAACTGTTTTTTTTTTTTTAAAAAAATTGAGTTTTAATACTCTCTCTCTCTCTCTCTCTCTTGTAAATTATTTTCTTTGAATTTTAATTTTCTTGACTCAAGGAAAAAAGAGAGAGATATGGGCAAGCAAGGACCTTGCTGTCACTGCGGAGTTACAAGTGAGTTCTTGTTTCTCCTCCTCTTTTTTTTTCGTGTAAAAACTTGGATTACCATTTAGTTCACCTTTTGTTTTCCCTTCATTATATATTCTTGTAATTGATTTTGTATATACAGAACTATAATTGTATCATTGAAATAGAATGGCTATGTCCAACGAGGAAGAGATTACACGGACAGACAGAATAAATTGAGGAACACTTGTTGTTCTGTTTGTTTATTCATGGATTCTGAACAACGGGTGTCTTTGTTTCTTTGAACACACCAGATACTCATCTGTTTCTTGTTTTCAACTTGTTATTGAATCTATAAACCCTTCACTCTATCTATTGTTTGGTTTTTTGACCGCTCTAACAAAGCTTGAACATATCACATCACCGCAAATTGGATTTGGAGTCTGTTGAATACAGGGGAGCTACATGTTTGATCAGTATGGCTTTCTTGTTTCTGTATAGGATTTTATGGAGACCAAATTCCGAGTCAAAGTGTATCGTTTTTCTTTGCAGAACTTAATGATCCAATGGAAAATGTACTTCCTTGGCATGTCCTATTAAGTTATTGATAAAAATTCTTGTCTATTGAGTTCTTGACTGGCTTGTATTTTTTCTCTTGGGTTGCATTTCTGGCAAGCTTTGCTGCTATCAAGTTTATTCTTGTGCATTTTTGGGGTCTTATACTGCTTAAGCTCTGAAACAATTCATTTCAGTTCACGCGAAACATGTATCTCCATTATTTTTCCCTGTAATCTGCTCTAAAGTCTGAACTTCCAAGTGATCAAATAATTCCTTTGTTGTTCCATTGTACTTTGGTCATTGTTTGGGTTACATTTGTTGGGAGTGCAATGGTCCTACTTGTAAACTCCAAAGAAATGAGTTCATCTCAAGTTTGCTGCAGCTTGAACTGCTTTGAAGGAGCTCAGCTTATGCTGCTTGGCTATAGCTGATGTCTTGTGGTTTGTCAACCATTATTGACGGGTTAGCTGCTGTGATGAGGCAATCACATTGTGGACCTGAGTTTTCTTGTATATAAAATAGAGTCAGCAGTGTCCAGCAGAGCCTTTTCTGGTTTGAATGGCTGGACTTGCTCTTATGTAGTCTCCTCATTCCCATCATTTGAAGCATTATGAGCTGCTCGCATGTGATTCATTCTCAGAAGAGAGACACAGCTGGACAATACCACCACATTAATGCGCGCGCGCGCGCACAGACATACTTGCTAATTTTTAGTCCTTAAATGCATGAACTTCTAGCCTAATCTGTTTGTTGTGTCAAGTTTTGGATGAGAAATATTTTCTCCTTGGTTTATTTATATTAATTTAAAATGCTTCTCCTATCAATTTTGTGGATAAACTTGTTTAACATGCATTGTATTGCTGACAACTATCTTCCAACAGGCACACCTCTTTGGCGCAATGGGCCTCCTGAGAAGCCAGTTCTGTGCAATGCATGTGGATCACGATGGAGGACAAAGGGAACACTAGCAAACTACACCCCTCTCCATGCCCGGGCTGGCCCTGATGATTATGATGATCACAGGGTCTCTAGGTTGAAGATTATATCTATGAACAAGAACAGAGAAGTGAAACTGCTCAAAAGAAAGCCAAATTATGATCATAGGGTTACTGAAGGTGTTGCTCTGGATTACAACGAAGGTTATAGAAAGGTTGTAGATGAAGACACTAGTAACAGGTCAAGTTCTGGGTCAGCCATATCCAACTCGGAGAGTTGTGCGCAATATGGTAGTGCAGATGCAAGTGATTTGACAGGTTGAGCACCAACTAAGATCAATCTTTGTTCTGTGTTTTGATTGCTCAAAAGAGAATGATTCTCAAATAATGAGATTGTTTACCATGTGTTAAATTGAGTGGATTATTTGCATATCTAGTTCACTTGAATGCTGTGCTTGGTATAAGAAAGTAATGAATTCTGGAAGCAGCTCCAAATTTATAGGAAATGAAAAAGAAGAGAGGTTATCATAGTACTGTATATGTGCAGCAAGGTACATCTCATAAGAATCTCACTCTGATTTCCTGAATAAACAGAAGCGACTTCCTTGCTTTTCTAGGATGCTAGCATACTGGAAGCTGGCTGCTATGATACTTTATCTCACTAAAGATGTCATACTATGGTATTACAGTTGACGCCTCTTTTAGTGGGGCTAGTGATGCGTGGGAGTGTGACTGGAGCCAAACTAACCAATTTGCTCAGTACTTTTGCTCCGTAGTTTTGGAACCAATATGTTTGGTAGTTGTGGCTTTCTATCACTGACTGAGTTTTACAGGGGACAGTGACTTAATTTAGAAAGGTTTATGCAGTGTTTTGTGCTCTCGTCATGCTTGGTGGTATTGCCTTATAAATGTATTCTTGTTCTTTCTTCAGGTCCAGCCCAATCGGTTGTGTGGGACTCCTTGGTACCTTCTAGGAAGAGGACCTGTGTCAATCGGCCAAAGCCATCTCCAGTTGAGAAGCTTACAAAAGATTTATATACTATTTTGCATGAGCAGCAGTCGTCATGCTTCTCTGGCTCTTCAGAAGAGGATTTGCTTTTTGACAATGAAACTCCAATGGTTTCTGTTGAGATAGGTCATGGAAGTGTTCTCATTAGACATCCAAGCTCAATAGCTCGAGATGAGGAATCCGAAGCTAGCTCCCTTTCTGTCGAGAACAAGCAATACCCGACAAATGAGGCCTATTCCCATCCTGTGATCCTTCCTGTACATAATGAAAACCAGAGTGTCAATATGACATATCCTATTACTGTAAAAACTAAGAACCTCAGCGGACAAGGGATGCAGCAAGAGCAACTTAATAGGTAACTCATCCACGCATGTTTTCAAAACTTTGAAAGGCATTCTTCTTTAATATATGGAACAAGGATAGAAACTCAGTGTCAGTGTCAAACCCAGATATGAGTTTTTCTATCAACATCACCTCCTAATGATTAAAATTCAAGTGTACATATAAATGCAGGCAGGGGTAGGTTTCAGCGTGGATAGAGAATATTCACAAAATAAGCAGATGAGTGGGTTTGATCAGAGGTTTACATTTCAGACTACTACTAGGATCTAGGGGGTATTGGAATGCGAAAGAAGTGATAGTACATTGGTAACTGTTACTGTACTGGTGGTTCATTTTTCAACTGTTTGGAATTTCAGGGACAAGTCTCCACATGAAAAAGTACACATCCTGGGAAGTCATAATTCACCACTTTGCAGTGTTGATTTGAATGTAAGTTGCATTTTGTCTCTCTCTGTATCTATCTCTTGTCATCACTGATCACACGTGGCTTTTTTGTTAAGTACATGCCACTCAATTTCTTGCACAGACCGAAATTTCAAGGTTTACTTCTTTTTTCTAATCATTTTTAAATGATCTCCTACTCTTCCCCCACATCTATTTAATCCTCTCATGGAGTGAACCAAAGTCTCAAATGTTTAGATATGTGTGGAACAGATATTCTTTAATACCATTCCCCTTGTGTGCATATCATGATTCTGCTCATGGTTGTGTAGGATTTTCTTAACTTTGAGGAGTTTGCAAGACACTTGACAAATGAAGAGCAGCAGCAATTACTAAAATATCTACCTCCACTTGATACCGCCAAACTTCCAAACAGGTTAGCCTTATGCCTTGTTGAATATATTTCTAAGTGTTAATATGGGGGGAAATGAACACTTTTGCAATTAGGAGACGCAAGGTGTTGTATTTGCTGTCAGTTGCCGTTTGATTTTATCTATTTTTCTTTTCAAAAAAATCTGTATTCATTAGCCTTTCTAGTCAATCATTGCATTTGTCAATATCATCATGAACCTGATAGCATTTGCATTTATAACCAAGCCTTTAGTGTGCCAAGCATAGATTAGAGTGGGTTCAGCTCACTGAAAAATGATATTAACACTGTTTGCCTTTGTTGGTGTGTGATTATGTGTTGTACAAAGTATTCTATCTCCCCTTATTCAATCTCAATTGAAATATACTCAATCCAAGATTGATGATGATTTATTGTTGTCTTTGCAGCATCAAAAGCATGTTTGATAGCCCACAATTCAAGGAAAACATAAATTGCTATCAGCAACTGCTTTCAGAAGGAGTCTTTGATCTCTCCTTCTTAGAAGCAAAAACTGAGGACTGTAAGACTTTGAAAAGGCTTACACTGTCCAATTTGTCGAAGTCCAAATGGGTGGAGCATTATCATCTACTCAAGGTTTGCATTGATCTTTTTTAAGTAGGAACATTGTTGCATGAAAACATCAATTCCTCGGAAGGTGGACATGTGATTTTAATGGCTCATTGCCTTCTCCTTTTGGCTGCAGAAGTGTAAAAATAGCACTGGGAAGTCTCTTGTTGGAAAGGGACCAAATCCAAATGTTGTTGCATCGAGTAATTTAATTGGTGCCAAAAGATCACGTGATAACCTAAGTCAGAAGTTTTCAGGTTAGCAATAAACTCATCTTGGATGTATTATTGAGCAAGTTGATCCTTTCTATTATTTTTCTCTTAGAAGCAAATGACTGCTAATGGTGACATTGAATCTGAAAGTTTAATAACTAAATTCTACTTCTAAAAGCTAAGAGAAATTTGTTAATGGGAGAGGAACATGCTGATACAAATAGGCATACAAAATCAATTTTGTGCTGATGTTGGCTGCTTTCTCTTATATTGAATTGTGGCAACAGAGATGTATCAAATCCTTCTCTTCATATGTAGAAGTTCATTTTAATCAGAACAGTGTTTGTTAAAGAACACATATAGAGAGCACATGTGTTCACTCATTGAAACATGCCGACCACAAGTAGAAATTGCATGCTTCCTGGACATAGTTAATTCTGAGAATCCACCTGGAGATATTGCAAGTTAGTCACCACCAGCATGAGTGGTGAAAGTTAAAGAGTGATTGTCTTCCATGGACATCACTTCTCTTTTATGGAACCGCTTTTATGATATGCTTCACAACTATTCTCATAAGCTTGTTTTTGTCTACTCTCAGAAGCAAAGTCAATGAAGAGCCCCAAGAGGATTGTCATGAAGGCTACCTATGAGATCAAAGAACTCATAGACAATGATGGTTCTTGCTTTAGTCCAAGAAGCCTATTTGCCCTGCCTCCTGATGGTAGCTCCCTCATGCTGGATTCTCTCCATTTTGTGGATGAAAGTTCTGATCAGGACCTGCTGCTGGACATCCCATCCAATGGTTCATTTGCACAGGCAGAGCTCCTTTACCCAACTAATAATAGTTTCGGCCAACAGGCTAGCACTAGTAGTAGCTCGATATATCCGCACCTAGGCTGCCCCTAACAATGTTATATTGATACTTTTAATCACTAGGGCCAGATAGATGCACCTTCTGCTGAATCAGGTGACTAGGTTAAACATGTTTTGCATGCCAAAATCAGCAAGTCTGTGAATGAGGTTTGATGGTTGCTGTTTTTTCCCTTGATTATTTTGAACTTGGTATGCTAAGAGATCGACTCCTGGTGGGTTTTTGTATAGGTTGACAACAGATTGTAATATATGGCTAAAAAATGCATAGCAGCTGGTGATTTCAAGAGTTATATATGCAATTGTAGCTGTATTGTTTGAGATACCCATTCATTGGTTTGCTTTTTTACTCATCGACACCAAGGGAGTAAAAACCAAAAGAAAAACAGGAGGATTGGCTTTCCGGGATGCATGAGAAGAAAGTAGAATAGCTTTTGTACTTGCCTTTTGGAGGATGGCTACCTGTTGCTTGTGGCCCGTCTGCATCTAAACTACAAGTTCCACACTCCAACCGACCACCAAATGATAGAGAAACGAATATACATCCACGATGGGATAACGTTTTTGAATGTGACTCGGAGTAATCAAGAAGACGCGTTTGTGTATTTGAATTGGTTTTTGAATGTGACTCGGAGTAATCAAGAGGACGCGTTTGTGTATTTGACTAGTAGGTGCAATGCTATTTGCTTAAGACCAAATTTGATCACTGGGATTGGTTGCGGGAAAATTTGAAGCTTGTCGCTTTTGTCTTTGTAATCGGGAATAAGTCAAATTCTAGAGAATTTGATTTCGTATCATGTCCAAGAGATTGCTAGTTGGGCAATCCTGTGTTAGTTTCAGTCATTGTGGACTTCGCCTGCCCTTTTTGAGTTGTTTGCTGTTTCCCATTGGGTATTTGAAAGGATTTTTTTTTCTTTGTAGGTTTATATCATGTTGATGCTCGTTTTGGTTGGCAACAATGAGGAATCGAGTGAAGTCATGATTCCAATGGCTTTGGTTGAAAATGAAATCGCTTCACAAGTTCAAGTGTTTTACGAAAATAGTTCTCAATAATTGCTTACAATCTCTACCTTGATGTGTTCTAACCCAGCAAACTCCGATTGCTTGTAAAACCTAATAGCTCAAACTGTCATTCTCGTAAATTGATAGGAGAGCAAGGTTGGATACCTCTTGTTGAAATGCAATGGAGACTGAGATGGGAGCACATTAACTCATTTAAGGGCCCATCTGCTTAACCAAGGTAGCGGCATTCAAGCATCGATGCCCTGCAAAGTTGGGGAGCTCTTATGAAACCATTGATCGTTATGCTTATTTCACATGAGGTGATGCCCTGCAATGTTTTCTCCCATGTGGCTCATATAGTTTCTCCCAGCGAGGCAGAAATATAGAATTATCCATACCTAGGCTAAGAATCACAAGCTGCAGTGTTTAGTCACAAAAGGCACCCTCCTTCCTCCTCTCTCCACCTTATTCTTTTTGTTTGGGAAGCCATTAAGTTCAACAGCAGGTCAATGGACAAAGACCAATGACCCAAAGTTAAGATGGAAGGCTATATGGAGGAAAGCGCACTCCAATCCTTTCAACAGTGCCATTGAAGCAAATGAAAGAAGACTCCCGAAGTCAACGTTGTCCATCCAAAGCATGCATCATGGTGGGCCAGTGGCCGAACATTGTGTTTTTACAGACGATAACAAATGACTTCGTTTGGTTCAACTGAACAAGCAATGGCTATATTGTTCAATGATAATAACTTCACAGTATTTTCAGATTTCCCTGATTTCAGGGGAGATAGAAGAAAAAAGAGTGCCTTTCACCGTTTTCCTTGTTTGACAGCCAGTGCATAATAAATTCAAGGTCTCCTTGGATTGCATAGCAAGGGCTTGACTTTAGACATTCATTACTATGGAGAAAGCAAAGGAAGAAGGAAAACATGTCCATGCAAACAGTTGAAACAAGGGAAACATGACTTCATGACCTCGTATTTTGAAAGGATAAAAATTCACATCTTATAAACAAATTTATTTTACATCTCCATATCCATCACTGCAGCTAAACAAGCTTATATCTCTTCTATATTCATCACTTCTATCGTAGACACTAACCAACCACAACTTTAGAAAACAATAGCAACTTTATCACAAAATTATATACACATGACATGACTATACAATACAGCCTTGCACCTCACAAGTCACAACCAACTTCAAAAGGCCTAGAGACGTCTCGTAACTTTCAAATTCATCCAGCAACTAGTAAAGCAGCAGAACGATATCTAAGTTCAGAAACCTACCTGCCTCATCATGGATTTTTAACATGAAGCTGCAAAGTAAAATATTCATGCTCCTCAAAAGGTAACAAGAAGACCCACCACGCCAAATCCCCCAACAAACCAATATCTGCAATAACATACCTCCCTGCCTTTATCATCTCCCATACAATAATCCCCTTTTGGCCGTTAACAGGACCTAAGGAAAAGTCATCCCACCTACCTTTGCAGCCTCCAAGATACTTAAACTTATCCAAACTTGGAGCATGCCGCTCTTCCTCTGCAAGTATCTTCAACACATCTAATAGTGTGATCTGAAGATCCATACAAGTCATTTCAGACAAAACAGTATCATGCTCTGCTTCCCCTGCTCCTGCATTCTCCTTCCTTCCTGGTACAGATGCCGGCAGCACACGTTTTTCTCGAACATCATCCTCCTTGCCACAAGCGTTTGTACCAACATTAGGACCAACATATCTAAACTTGTCAAGGTCATCTGTGCCTTTTCTAGCAGAATGTTCCTCCCTGGTATTGCAAAATCCATTAGCCTCCCTCTCGTCCACTCCATCATCGACAAATCTTAAGGTTGTATCATTTCCTTCAAACTCATATTCTATCATATCAGTAGAAAATTCCAGCTTCCTCTTCGCTGAGCTCTCTCCACTACATTCCCTACCACTACCATTCACTTCAATCATCATTTCTCCAGCTTGCTCATTTTGTGGAGATTTTAAACAACTGTCATAACCACCCCCTTCCTCAGAACCCAATTTCTCCACAGAATACCCGAGATTCTCTCTTCTCTCGGTTTCACGCACTAAACTGCTTCTTGGACTCTCCAAACCCAGATTTTTATTCGAACGTTTTGCTCTTTTCGACTTAGCCCTAATTAAATCCACTGTTTTCAGTAACCTCTTGTCACACTTCACAGATTCAACCCCTACACTAGCTCTTGGAGTCCACTTAAATCTATCCAATGATTTCACCAATCTCTCCAAACTTTTCCCAATTTCAGTTCTTAGACTAGGTTTTGGAGTAAAAAAACCCAGATTATTATAGTAAAGTTTCGATCTTTTAGTCGAAAACTCGCTGAAGACATTATTTGAAGAAGACGAAGGAAATCCTCTTTTCAAAACCATACCTTTTGTACACTTACAGTGAACTACTTCTTTGTCCTTAGAATTATCCCCACCACCACCCAAATGGCCTTCAATCTCCATTCTCTCTGTAAATTCCGCCTCTGCAGTAAACCCTAAATCCTTCTCGATCGAATCTCCGGAACAATATCCACCATCAACGGCCATAATTTCATCAGTTCCTGCTCCGTCAACCATCTGATCTTCCTTTGCGTAAACAGCGACCTCCTCCTGCTGCTGCTCGTGCTGGTTTTGGGAGCTTGAGAGGGAGGGATCTTCAGGCGGAGTGCAAAAAACGTCGTCTTTATGGAGGATATAATTTTCTTTTGGGTCGTCCTCGTGGTTATCCTCTGGAGTTTGTGGAGGGGAGACCATGGTGATAGAGGTCGAGGTGACAAGGATTTCGGCGTGGAGGGAGAGAGACTCGTCGTTTGTTTGTGGTACAAGAGAGAAGGGACAGTGGTTCAAGTGTTGCTCTTGGGAATCGGAGACTTGATACAGCTTTGTTAATGCAGCGAAAGGATCGTTTTTCTCCATTTTTGCATACAAAGATTAGGGTTTTCTTTTTTCTTAAAGAGAGAGAGAGAATGGGAGGGAAAGTTAGTCTCTAGGGGTTCGATTTCTTAAGTTAATTTTCCCGCCATTTGTTTTGAACGGTTGGTGCTTAAATCGATGGCGTATAATATATTTTTGATGTGTATAAAGACGATTGTCGTTTTGTTTCCCTGGGCACCTCGTGTACTTCTGCTTCCTAACGACCTGTCTTGGCTTCCCCTGTTTAAACGACCTGGGTTGGTTTTTTTTTTTTTTAAAACAAAATTAATAAATATTACTTTTTAAAATAATTTTTTTGTTAGAAAATATATTTAAATAATATATTTTTTTAAAATTAATTTTTAACATCAGCATAATAAAATGATAAAAATATAAAAGTATTTTTTAAAATATTAAATTTTTAAATATTACTTTTTAAAATAATTTTTTTGTTAGAAAATATATTTAAATAATATATTTTTTTTTAAAATTAATTTTTAACATCAACATAATAAAATGATAAAAATATAAAAATATTTTTAAAAATATTAAATTTTTTTAAAATATAATTAAATCACCCTCTTAAATATCCCTTCGCTTGATAACATTTAGAAAAATTATCACTAACTTTAATTAAAACCTTTATATACTGAGAAAATTAAATTAATTATATATAATTTTATTTTTATGTTTTATTAAAAGGTTTATTGGTTTTGAATTATGTAACAAGGTTTTTGGTATATAATAATAAAATAAAAAGTTATTGAAACTCAACTCTATTTCACAAAAATAATTAAATTATTAAATATAAAGTCAACTAGTCTTTTTTGTAATTTTAAATTAATTAATTTGTAAACCATAGCCTAGAAGACTTATCTATTTTTATATTTGTCTAGTCATATTATAAAGTATTTAGTTTTTCGTTATATATTTTATTAAAATCTTTTTTATTAGAGAAAGGAAAAGGGACATTCTTTTATGTTCAATCTATCCATGTCATTTTCAGCTAGTCATCATCCATGCTTCATACTCTATCTCTTGTAACCTTAAATCATAAATCAAAAAACATAAAAATAAAAAAATAAAAGATCTTGAAAATATATACCTATTTCTTGTTTAAATTAACAAAAGCATTCAGAATTAAACTTGTATTTAGAATCTATACAAACTTTGGCCACCTCTCCCAAACACAACATCATACATTATATTAAGCTAATGTTCTTTTCGTGAAAAATAGTTTCTTAAAAATTATTTTTTTAGGTTTTTTTTTATTTGTTTACAACTAGAAACATTGATAAAAAAAAAATATTTTATAGTTAAAAAAAATTAGCTTGGATTTTTTTTTTTTATATT